TGAAACACATCCATTTGTTCTCTGATTACTTGGGTATATATTTATCCTGTTAATATTTTCAAATGCAGAATGAAATGTAGAATTGAGGTAATAACTGGATAATGGCTAAGTTCAGTATAGAAAAATATTTTAGGAATTTTCATGTATTTCATTTAGGCATAAGCTACTATTAAAACACTTAACCTACAACCTGAAACAATAGTCAAACTGTTCTTATACTTAAAAAAAATTACCGATTTTCTCTAAAATACTAAAATAATTAATGGTCTAAAATTGGTCAAATTTTTTCAAAGGACTTTAAATATAAACTGCCATTATGCCCTTCTTTTAAATTATTTTTATAAACTTCTCAAGAAAGGTTAATTTTATGAATCTTTTTTTCTTGGAACCATGTCTACATAATACAATTGAGTTGCTCGTGGCTTGGTAAATTTGATTTCTTACTTATGTTAATGGCCAATTTCTTCACAATTAGACAAACTTTACACCTAGATGAATTGACTATAAAGACAACCAAAAATACTGAATTGTGTCATGGCCTAGTGAAGTTTGCTTAACTAGGCACAGTCATGCCTAGTTAATAGAGAAACTGTTAAGCAGGAGTCTACCTACTTAGAGATCTGTTGTATTTAAGATTAATGTATTAAGAAGATTAATTTTATTTGGGAAATATTACAAAAATAGCCATTAAGCAAAGAGTTAAATTTTACTTTTATTTCAACATTGCTACAGTTGACCTTCAGGAATATGCTTCCTTAAATATCTCATAAAAATGATTCTATATTTAGAAAAACATAAACCAGCCCTCAAAAATAGCTTCAAAACCTAAGCATGTTCTCACTTATCTTATATAAAAAGTATATACTTATTTTATGAAAGTCAGAATTTGTTTAAATGTTTAGATCATTTAGTGGGAATAACAGGCCTCAGAAAGAGATTTGACTTAGTTGGTCTATACTACTTGGGAACATTCCCAATTCAGTTTTATCAGAAAAGAGATGAATAGCTAGGATTTTCAGTTGCCTAATTTCAAAGATTTTCCAAGTAGACCAAGCCTTCTTCTATTTCTATGTATTGTACTGCTTTAGGCTTTAATTCTATAAGTGGCTTTTCTTCCATCTTTATCTTCAGGTTTTTTAGTTTCCTAATTTTCACTTCATCCTCATTTCTTTTCACCCTTTCCTTTCCCTTTTCTTTTATTCTATCTTCTTCCAAATCTTTGCACCAAAGCTCGTTTTTCATGTACTAGGCACTTTGCCTTGCCTTTCTACCACTTCTTAAAATATTTTTCTTCTTCCATTTCTGACCACCTTATAAATCACCATGACTTAATATTTTTCCTGTTAGCTAGTGCCTTGTACATGTTTTAGTAAGCTCCTTAGGGCAAGAACCTTGTCTTCCATATTTTATGCTTTGTAAAGTACCATGTACTGTTATGGCTCCTATTAACAATAAATCTCACTATGAATTAGCTAAAGCTACATCCTCCTAGTTTTATGTGTAAGCTCTAGGCACACACAAAGGCTACTGTAAGTTCTTATTTGGCACTTCAAGGTATCCTTATTTCTTAGATAACACTACAATGCCACCTTTTGGTGTTCTCAGGCACACGGTCCCAAATCCATTATGACTTTGCTTATTCTTTTTTTTTTTCTGGGACAAGTAGTTCAAGGACTTTTTTCTTTTTTAAAGAAATATCTTACTCTTTTCCACAATCTAGATTGAGGAATATAGGTCTTAAGGTCAAGCTGTCTTTTAATTTCAAATAATGCTTGATGGATAAAATTCTAAGTTTCTGAAAACATTTTGTGTTCCAGTAATAAAAAATAGAAAATATATAAATGTCAATAAGATTGAATAAATATTGATGGAACTGTTAGAAATTAATATAGTTGTATGCTTTGTTTTCTCAGTTTTCCACTGAAATACAAGTTGAACAGTTCTGGTGCATTTACTTCAGGCTCAGACTAACAAGCTAATGTAAATTAAGGCAAACCTAAGTAAGATGCTCAATTTATGGCTTAAGAGACACAATTTGCTTTTTGGGCACTTAGTCCAATGTCTTATTTTCAAGTAGCCAAAGATTATTTTTGGTATGTTCCTGTAGTTTAGGATCTTTTCCACCTAATCAGGTACCTATGGCCTCCTCTCAGGTAATATTCTCAGAATTCAATTAGGTAAACAAGTCTCACCAAAGTGAGAGTTGATAACTCAAGCAGACCTTTCTCAGATGTGTTATATATACAATTTATAGGGGCCTATGCAAAATATTCAAGTTGAAGGGGATCTTTATAAGTCTAAGTCAATGTTTCTTTGAAAAAAAAAAGGAAATTGATATTAAGAGAAATGAAATGACTTGCCCAAGGACATATACAGGTGTGTTGATATATGTTTACCAACTGGCTCTCTAGGAAAAAAACAAGGTAGGTAGGACAATACACCTACGTTTAATTTGCATTATTGTTATTTTCTCCATCACTTTCTTAAGTCTATATAAGCAACAAAACAATAAATCAAGCCTGGATTTGTAGCTAAAATTTAACAATAGGCTTTCGAAAGCTACTAATAGTTGGCTATAGCACACTGCTGGTCATACCACCTGGTATGGTCTGCACCTGGCAGGACTAAGACTTGAATCCAGCTCTCTGGAATACAAATCTTATGTTCTTTCCCCTATATCACACGGTCCCTAGAGACAGAAAAGCATCAAAAAGAATAAAACTCAAACTGATCACGGTGGGGAAGGCATTTCCAGATGTCCTTTAAATTATTACAAATAGGTAACTTATTCTACTTCCTTGTAGAGCCCAGACTAGGTGTAGGGTAAGGTGGTCAGCTGCACAATATGGGACACTTTTGAAATACTGTTTTATATGAAGGCACATATTTCAAATGTCAGAACATTTTACCTTCCATGGTACATGTTCTGTGATAGATCAGTTTGCCAGTATTACAATGAAGGATCAAAGCCTTTGATGAATATAAACCCAAAGGAGACTTAAATTTTCAAACTTTGCCCAGGGTGGCTTGCCAGCTATTAATAAGACTGGCTCTACTTTTTAGTGACATTAACTTAACTGATGACTTCTCTGAACACTGGTGAGGTGGCAGAATCTTGTTTCCTCCTGTTTAGCTTAAGGTGCCTACATTCTTTGTGTTCTCCAGCTTATCCACATTTCACTTTTCCTTACTTGTTGGCCTAACTCCAGACCCCCAAAGAATCCCAAGATAGTTAGGAGTGACTCCAATAACACTTTGCGTCAGATTAAAAAGATCTTTGTGTCAACAAGAGTCATCATGGAACTTGTGTTGAGATGATGGCCTAATTTGCTCACGGCCAGTTAGATGGCGCAGTGCATAGATCCCTGGACCTGGACACAGGAAGACCCGAGTTCAAATTCAGCCTCAGACACTGTATGACTCTTGGCAAGTAATTTAACCTGTTTGCTTCAGTTTCCTTACATGCAAAATCGGAACAACAGCACCTACCTCCCAGTGTTGTTGTGTAAGATAATATTTATAAAGAACTTAGAACAGTGCTCAAGTTTACACAGATGACCCTAGGCAGAACCATAACTCAAAGCTAAGTATTCTGGTTCCAAATCTACTACTCCTTTCATCAGGCTTGTAAACTAGGGGTCATCCTTGACATCTCTCTCTCTCTCTCTCACCCTCCAAATATAATCTGTTGCTAAGGCCTGTCAATTTTACCTTCATAACATTTCTTGCATTCACCCCTTTCTGGCCTCTGACACTGTCACAACTCTGGTACAAGCTCTCATTACCTCACATCAGGACTACTGAAATGATCAACTAAGGATCATCCCACTCCAGTCCATCCTCCATTCAGGTGACAAAGTGATCTTCCTAAAGCTCAGATCTGATCATGGTCCCTCTCCCCCATTCAACTCCAATGGCTCCCTATTACCACAAGAATCAAATACAAAATCTTTTTTGTTGTTTAGATCCTTTCACCTTTCCAGTCTTCTTACAACTTACATCCCCTTCCACTGTGATTCTGTGATACTACCCTCCTCGATATTTCTCCAACAAGATATTCATCTCCTGACTCGACTCGGGGCACTTTCTCTGGCTGTCCCCCATGCCTAGAATGCCCCTCATCTCTGTTTCTTGGTTTTCTTCAAGTCTTAGACAAAATTCCGTTCTACAGGAAGCCTTCCCTTTGTTCACTATCTTCAATTTATCCTGCATATATTTTGTTTGTACAAACTGTTTGCGTGTTGTCTCCCCCAATGGACCATAAGCTCCCTGAGAGCAGGGACTGTCTTTTGTTTTTCTTGGTATCCCGGCGTTTAGCACAGTGCCTGGCATATGATAGGCCATTAATGAATGTTTTTGATTATACCGAGCTTCCCTGTTTTGCTCTGGCTCCGAGGAATAAAAGAACTCAAAAAAACCTGAGATTAACATCAGTTGCCGTTTAAAGGTACGTGTGAGGATTTGCTGCTACTTTAGTCCTGAAAGGCGTTCAATGAGAAAGGTCACTATTGACAACTTTGAAGTCTCTAAAGAAGAGCGGGAGGGTCAGAGATTCCGGAGTAAGGAGTGGGCCTGGTCGCACACGCGCTTGCCCTGCAGCCGACTGGGAGACATCTGATTTGGGGACCCCTCAGGATGGCACCAACCCTCCTCCGTCCTCTTCCCCCGGCAGCCGGTAGGGCTTCCAGAGGACTTTTCGCAGTTCGTCGTTTTCAACAGCAGGGAACCTGGGCTGCTAGAGGGAGGTCATGGAGAAATACAGTTGAGGCCACTTCAAGTCCAATCAAAGAGAGAAGGGAGGCATCGGGGAGTAGACCAGCCTCAGGCGCCGCTGCAGTCGCCAGCTTCAACCGCCTCAACTGCCCGCCCCCGTCACGTGACAGGGGAGCGCGGCGCGCGGGGCGGCGCTGCTGATTGGTCGGATGGCGGGGGCGCGGTGTTTGATGGGAAGGTGCTGCTGGAGCGCTCTGTCACTAGTGGCTGCTGCCTGCCGGGGCGGGGGGAAGCTGTCTGCGACCGCGGCGGCGGCGGCTGCGGCGGGCGAGCGTCAGCACCGGACTCGGCCCCTTTCGTGCAGGTAGAGCCGGGCAGGGACGGGGGAAGGAGCAGGGTGAAGGGCTCCCGGGGATCCTTTCTCCCTCCAGCTCTCTCTCTGGCCGCCCGGCACCCGTTGGCCTAAAAGAGAAAAAGGCTGAGGTGGCGGCGATTGCAGCTGGAGGGCTTGAGCCGGGGGCTGACTCACTCCCGCCTCCTCCCCTTTCCATTTTGATGCCCAGGACCCCCGGGCCGCCCTGGCCAGGGGGAGGGGAGGAGAAAGGAGGGGGAGCCGGGCTGGGCCTGGGGGGTGTGGGCGTGTGTGGTGGAGGTCTTCCCAGCCCCGACATAGGCGGGGGTGAAAGTTGCCCTTCTCAGCCTCGCCCTTTCTGTGCTCTTGTAGCTTTCTGGGGATGAGCGGGGTTGCTGTGAACATCCCTTCCCCGCGGGTGGGGGCTGGGGTGGGACGGAGGGCTCGTGGGTCCAGCGTTGACCCTGCTGCTTCCCGCCTCCCAATGCAGATCCGGAGAGCTGAAAACTGTCAGTGTCACGCCGCCCAGCCCCGACCGGAGGGAGCGGCTCGGGTGTGCGCGCCTCCCCCAGCAGCCACTTGCCTCTTTATTTGGTTGCGGAGCCCCGCGGGGGGGGAGGGGCGAGCTGGGGAGGCCCTGTAGGTCGGACTGGTAGGCGTGGCCAAGAGAGGAAGCGGGGCGGGAGGAGAGGGAACCCAGCTTCGGCTGCGGGAGAGACTTTTTGTTTGGGTGCGAAAAAGAGGGGTGGTGGGGTCAACTTCGTGTTGCTGGCTGCTGGTCGTGGAGACGAGCCATATACCACGTGCCTGGCAACCGATCTCTTAGAAATTGCTTGGAAAGGGGCAGTTCTTTGGGGATCCTTGTCCAGGTTGAGACTTCTGATTTTCGCTGCTTGTACAATACAATTTCTTAGTAATGTCTTAAGAACTCAGGCTTTTGTTATCAATAGAAGAAAAACACTAGAGAGAAATTCCTTGATGTAATCTTCTATTTAAAATGCCACCCATAGATTTCTTATTTGAACAGCCTAGAAACCACTTCAGAGAGAAGCACCATCATATGTATATAACAAATAAAGAAAAACTGTTCAAAAGAAACATTGAAATCTTGTTTGGCAATGTTAGGATTTTTTGAGAGTCAAGGCATCTCACTCCCTTCTGCTTTACATGTGTTTTGTATGTACCTATATATGTATATCGTATGTATATACATACATACGATATACATATGTCTGTTGGCTCCCCTGTTAATGTAAGCTACTTGTGGGCAGGGACTATTTCAGTTTTGTTTCTGTTCCCGCAGCGCATAGTGTATGAATGAACTTGGATTACTTACTCTAGGGAGCTTCCTTTAGGTACATGTTGCTTTTACTATCCCAAACTGTATAGGAATACTCTTGTGCTGTCCTCCTTGGTCCATGAGTTGTTTTTTCTCTGGAAGGACCAGTTAATCTTATCTGAACCACAAAGTTAGGAGAAATGAATTTTGCAGTGGTGGGGGTGTGTTTAATTTTAATATTTAAATTTTATAGACATACTGTCATCAGTGAAACCAAAGTTAGGTAATTCTGTTATGATAAGACTTAAAGTAAAATAACATTAATAGCTGACAGCTATATAACTGGTATCAAACAAGTTTGTTTTATAGACATAGACAGTACAATAATATATGTAGTGTATACACAGTACAATACAACACACATTTGTATTATAAGACATACACAATACATATGTACATACATATGTGATTTATTAAAAAAGCAAATAATATTTCCTTTTTGTCTTTACCCTCACAAGGAAGTGGTGACATATACTTACTTGTTGCATTATTGAAAATTGAGTCATTTCATAATAACCCAGAATATCCTTTAAAAAGATCTTCTTTTGGTGTACAGTTTCAGATAGATGAGGGTGATGATATCAAATTCACAAAATTGCATTATAGTAAGTAATTTTAATAGCCTATTTATTTTTTGAAAGAGTAGGCTTCTATGGCAGATCACCTTGAATCTTACTTTGGTTACTAAGAAGTGCTGGTATATTGCAGGGAATTCTAAAGGTACCACTGATTATTTAATCTCTGTTAAAGTAGATTTGAAATTTGGTAAGTTAAACGAACCTAGCCAAAAGAAATCATCCTTTGCTTTTTTCCTCCCTAGAAGACCTATGACAGTATATTAATAAAATATGGTATTATTTTGCTTTTATGTTTTATATCAGAGAAAATGAAGGCAAAATAATTTTACTTAATATGTGAAATATATAGAACTTAAACTTTTGACTTATCATTTAATAATTTGTTGTACTTTTAGAAGATACTGTACCTGATCCACTCTGAATAGTATGTTGGTTAAGAATATGAATATCCATGCCGCAAGATTTTGAATTACAATTCCCAAACTAAAATTTGTAAGTAGCATCTTAAAATATTTAATATAGTGGATAATATTACATATTGGAAAACGCATTTGAAAACTTAAGTGATTCCAAGGTACATCTGAACAGGAATAGAGAGAATCTTTGCATGTTCTTGAGGGAGAGTGTCATTGGATTTATCCATCTCCTGATTTGATGTCAAGTGAATTATTTAGTGCATAACACTGAAATAGTAGAGATATTTGATCTTGCATATTTTCCGTGGGTGTTTAAGCTAGAGTAGGCCTTGAGATTAGACTACACAGAAGACTACATGTGAGAATTGATGAAAGTGTACATAAATTAAAGCAGAAGAAAAATATTTCACTTACTTAGCTATTTTATATTTCCATATGTGTAGTAAGGCATTGGCTCTTGCATATGGCTTTAAATATGTTTATTCCGTTCCTTTTATATAGAAATGTCCAGGACATTGGGGTTTTTTTGGGGGGGGTGAGGCAATTGGGGTTAAGTGACTTGCCCACAGTCACACAGCTAGTGCTGAGGCTGATTTTGAACTTGAACTCAGGTCCTCCTGACTGAAGGACTGGTGCTCTATCCACTGCGCCACCTAGCTGCCCCTGTCCAGGACCTTTTTAAGCTGGATCATGTTATTTTTTTATCTGTGAACTGGCAAAAATTAATGTGACATATCTGACCCTTTATTGTGCAAGTCTTAGGTGCTCTTGAACATAGATAGTAACTTGTTCTACCTCTCCTTTAAAAATGTATCTAGGGATCTGGTTTAAAACGATTTCCATGACCAAGGGTTAGGGCAGGGCCTGGAGGAGGAGAGGTATCACAGTATTCAGAGCTGGAAAAATGCTTTAGGGATAATCTATCTAGTCCAGTTGTTCTCTAAGTATGGTCTAGGGATCCCTGGGGTGGGGAGCCTGAGACCCTTTGTTGGGGTCTGCAAAGGCAAAATGATTTTCATAATAATAGCAAAACTTTTAAATTTCTAGTACTGTAAATGTCCATAGATATAACCCACAAACAAAAGTTCTTTGAGGGAATGGCTCCCCATTAATTTTAAAGACAAGGAAGTTTGAGAATTGTTTGATTGTCCTTTGCTTTCGTAGAGGAGAAACTGAAGCCCAGAGTGGTTAAGTACTGTGCCCAAAGTTACCAAGCTAGGATATAGTAGAGCTAGGATTGAAACCCAAGTTTTCTGCTTTTGATGCAGACTCTTGGGGTGTTTGGGGGTTTTTGATCCTGGCACTAGGTGTGTTCTTGGAGTATTTGTCATGAGAAGGAATTACTGTAGAACTGATTTATAGGCAGTAGAGGCATTGCTGGAACTTGGTCACAAAGAAGAATGGATGACTATTAGGTTGCAAACCTAGGTGACTGGAAAGATTGTCTAGAAATTGATAGAAATATGGGAAGAGGGTTGGGTTTAGGGGAAAAATAATGAGTTCTGTTTTGGATATGTTGAATTTTGAACATGAAACACCCAAGTGGAGATATCTAATAGGCAGCTGGTGATAGTAGGACTAGAGCTTGGGTGAAAGATGAGGGCTGGGTATGTAGATAAGGAATTGTCTGCCTAGAGATGATAGTTGAATCTGTAAGAGCCAATGAGATCACCAAGAAGGTGGACCAAAGAGGACCTTAAATAGAGCATTTTAAGTTTAGTGGAAGACGTTGCAAAGGGCTGAGAAGCGAATGTAATGTGAGGAAATGAAGATAGCTTTTTTTTCCCCCATAGGAGTTCAGCTTTACAAAAAGGAGGAGAAAACTCAAGGCAACTTGAAAGTATGAGAGTCAAGTGAATGTTAAAGAAGCTCTGGCTAGGCATGTTTGAAGGCAGTAGGAGTGAACTGAGCTAAACATCACCTTTAATCTAGTTCCATTCGACAGACATTTCTTGAGTCATATTAAGTATAAAGAATATAAATAAGCACTTTTAAACAAAGATGAGGGAAGTAAAACTGAGGACAAACTTTTTAAAGAATTTAAGTTCCTAGTTGTATGAGATGTGATTAGTATTAATGCTAATGATCATTCTCTGTTTATTAAAAAAAAAAAGTCCTTTTTGGAAATCTTTTTTTTTTAAAGCTTAAATAGCCGTATCTTTACATATAATATCTAATTCAGAGTCTTTCCTAATTCAGATTGGCATTCCCCACGTTAGTCTGGAGGAATGGATTATATTATGAGAATTAGCCTGCTGTAGTGGTTAGCTCCATGACTTGGAATCAGGAAAAATTAGATTCAAATCTTGCCCCCCAGGCTCTTTGCAAAGCTTAATCTTCACTTGATCCTACCATCTCTTCAAACTAACTGATCTCTCTTCTCTTACTCAAACTCCCAGGAAATAAAATTCTCTACATCCGTGGTGGCAAACTCAAATACAAAGGGGGTCAGTAAACCGAACATAAAGATCCCTGTGAGCCACGTATTGTCTTAGAAAACCACACATGTTTACATAGATTTATTTATTTTTTTATGAATACATCAGCCCATTAAAATCAGGGAGAAACTGTATTTTAATCTGGTTCTGCCAGCACTTGGGAGTGTCATGGGTGTGTGGGCTGAATACCTCTGTTTGATACCTCTGTTCTACATTATACCTCATCTTCTGTACCTTAGCTCCTAGGTTCTGTCATACCTCACCACTTAACTGATACTACTGTCTTCAAGGTTAGCAGTAATCTCTTGTTAAATTTGTTGACACATTTTCAAGTCTTTATTCTTCTTAGGCCTTTCTGTACCACTTGACTGTTGTTGTACCTACTCCCCCCAATATTCTCTCTTTCTTGCGTTTTGTGGCTCTGGGCTCTATACCTTATTTCTAACTGACTCATAGTTCCTTTTCATTTGCTGCATCTTAATCTGTGTCCTATCTACCTTTCCAGCCCATACTACATTTAACAACTAAAATAATCTTCCTAAAGCCCACGTCTGATTATGTCACTTTTCTGCTCAGAAACTTTCAGTGGCTTCCTTTTATTTCTATAAATTTTTCACTCTATATTCCCTCCAAACTTACCTCCATATAGGTTCCCCAAACTCAATATTCTGCCTCTCTGCCTTTATAGACGTTATCTTTCATGTTTGAAATGCGTTCCCTCCTCATTGCCATCTCTTTGCATCTCTAGCTTCCTTTAAGACTTATATGTTTTAACTTGTAGGAACAATCAGTCAGTCAACTTTTATTTAGCTTCTATTATGTACCAGGCATTATTCTAAGTGGCAGAGGTAAGAAAGGAAGAAAAAGACAGTCCCTGCCCTTAAGGAGCTTAACATCTTATCTCATCTCCATAAATGGAGGGTTTTATGAAAAAGATCAGTTATTTAGTTAAGGAGCAATCTCAGTGTTTGTATGCAAAAACCTTCTCTTGAGTCCATGATCCCCTCAAGCTATCTGATTCTATCTCTCTATTTTTTTTAATAACTTTCCTCTTAGAAAATAACTTGTCTATACTCTGTCTGCATATTATCTCCACTTAATAGAATTTGGCTAAGAATGGTCATTTGCAATTTGGCTTCAGTAGAAATTGCTTTTGCATATATTTTGTATTTACTTTCCTGAGAACATGTTTCACATTGTAACCCCTTCCATGTAAGATCCTTGAGATTAGGGAGAATCTTGATTTTTGTCTTTGTATCCCCAGTCCCTAGCTTAGTTCCTGGTATATAGTAATTGCTTAATAAGTGGTCGTTTATTCTTAAATTGTCATAATTTTCAAATTAGTCAGAATAAACTAGTTTTTACAGTGTTTATTGGCATTATAACCATAATATCTTAGAATAAATTATAGATGTATTTTGTTCATTTAACATGAAAATAAACATATATTTTATTTCTAGCTGTGAATTCCATTACAAAATTGATGAAAGGCATCATCGTAGCCTGTCTTCACAGATAAAAGATGGGTGGATTATTTTCCCGATGGAGGGTAAGTTTTTATTTTTTAAGTTAGTTCTTAAGTCTGAGATAATAATCTGACATAAAAACTTATTTACAAAAATCTGTTGTGTGGTATAGAATAGACTGTTAGTTGGATATTATCTCTAAGCCTTGGTTTTCCTTTTTGTGTGTGTGTTCTCCTTTCGGTTTGATTGGCCTTTAAAAAAAGAAAGTTCAAATCAGTAGAGTTTTTTAATAACTCAGGCATCTCTTGATTTAATGAAATGAATAGTTGACATTTGTTAATTCATTAAAGTTTGCAAAATACTTTGTCAATATCATTTCATTTGGGCCTCATGACTGCCTGTGAGGTGGAGACAGTGATTTTCTGCAGACTTGAGACTAAAGCTCAGTAGTGAATTGACTTGCTTGAGGCTGCAAAGTTAAGACTCAAGCACAGGTTTTATACAGGATGAATTAGAGATAATCTTACAGGGGGGTCATTAGGGAGCCTGGTAGAAGGGATTTTAGCTGGGAACCGAAAGAAGTCTGGGGAGCCAGAAGGAAGAGATGAGGAGGCCGAGAGTTGTAGGTATGGAGGAGAGCCAGTTCGATGCATAGAGTATGGAGATGGACTGTTATGTGAGAGGAACGTCAAGGAGATCAGTTATTGTATCATAGAGTACATGGGCAGGGGGAGCAAGGTGTAAGAAGACTGGAAAGGTAGAGAGGGGCCAGGTTGTGAAGGGATTTAAGAGCTAAATACAGGATTTTAGATTTGATCTTGGAGGTAAGAAGGAGCTGCTGGAGTTTATTGAACCAGGATAGTGATATTGTCAGACGTGCTGTAGGAAGATCAATTTGATAGCTGAGTGGAGGATAGACTGGAATGGGGAGAGACTTGAGGTAGGAAGACCAACCACCTGCCTATTGCAATAGTCTAGGTGTGAGGTAATGTAGACCTGCATCAAGGTGGTTGCAGTGTCAGAGGAGAAAAGGGGTATATATGAAAGATGTTACCAAGGTAGAAATGACAGGACTAGCCAATTAATTAGATACTGGGGGTGTGAGAGAGAGAGTAAGGAGTAGACTAGTACATCTAGAATATAAACCTGGATGACTGAGAGAATAGTGGTGCCCTAAGCAGTAAAAGGGGGAAGTTAAGAAGAGGGGAGATTGGAAAAGATATTGGAAAAGATAGAGTTCAGTTTTGGACATCCAATTCTAAATGTTCATCAGGCAGCTGGAGATGTGAGGAGATAGGTTAGGACTGGATAAATAGATCTGAGAATCATCTGCATAGAGATGACAAATCCATTTGAATGGACAATTGAAGCTGTTGAGATAATCAAGAGAAATGTTATAGAAGGAGAAGGCGGCCCAGGACAGAGTCTTGGAGGACCCTTACTGTTAAAGGATGGTGATGTGTATGAAGATCCAGCAAACAAGACAGAAAAGGAGCAGTCAGACAAGTAGGAGGAGAATCAGGAGAGAGAGCAGTGTCATGAAAACCTACAGACAAGAGAGTTATCAAGGAGAAAAAAATGACAAAAAAAAATGACAGTATCAAAGAAAAGGTCAATGACTGAGAAAAGGCCATTTAAATTTGGCAAATAAGAGATCATTGGTAAATTTGGAGAGAGCAGTTTCAATTGAATAATGTCAGAAGCCAGATTGTAGAGAATTAAAAAGAGAGTGAGAGGAAAAGAAATGGAGGCTCACCTGGTAGACAGCATTCTCAAGTTTAGGTACAAAAGGGAAGGAACAGGGTGATAGTGGAAATGGATGGATCAAGTGAAGGTTTTTTGAGGATGAGGGAGACATGAAAATTTTTCTAAGTGGTAAGGAAGCAGTCGGGAGACAGGAAGAGAGTGGGAACAAAAAGTAAGACTGGAGATGATAGAGGGGAAAATTTTATGGAGAAGACAGGATGGATTCGGATTACTTGTGTGTATAGAGAGGCTTGCCTTAGTAAGAAAGGCTTCCTCATGTGAAATGGGTAAAAGAGGAGATGGTGGCAGAAGCTACCTAAGTGATACAAGATGAGGAATTCAGTAACATCATGAGTTGAATAACATGTGACAATTCTTTTTTCATAGGGAAGAAGAGGGAGCTCTTAGCAAATGGCCTCGATTTTTTTTAGTGAAATATGAGGCAAAGCTTTGAGCTGAGAGGCTCTAAGGAGGGGAACTGTGGGAGTTTTGAGGAGGGATGGAAAAGTTTGGAAAATATGTCTTAAGTGGGAGAGCTGAGTCAATTAGGAAGATGTAAAAGGATTGTTTTGTTGCAGTAAGGGCCCAATTGAAATCATATAATATAAACTTGTGGACTCTGTGGCTTCAATCGGCACAGTTTTGTGATTTTTCTCCAGCTTCATTCAGTAGCACATGTGTAGGAACAAAGGCAGTGAATGGTGAGAGTGATCTAAGACTGAGCCTTTGGCAGAGCAAGATAGGCAGTACAGTAAGGGGTCAAAAGACTATGGAAATGGATAGTGTAGAGTTAAACTTACTCATCAAGGGGTAAAGATGGGGAAGGGAGAAGAATGTAGCTAGTGCAGAGGTGATATCTTGGGAAGGAATTGGGGGATTGAAGAATTGGAGGTCATGGTGTGTATGAAGAGAACAGGGTTTTTACAAGGCAGAGAGAGAGAGAGAGAGGTGGAAAGACAATAGATTGTGATTATGTAAGGGAATTTAAGAGTTCATGAACATGGAAGTGGTACATTTGTGGGAGATGGCAAGATTTAAAAGTATGACCACCTTTGTGTGTGGCTTAGATGGAGTGGAGGACTGGGCCATGGGAAATGAGTAAGTTACAGAACTGAGAGATTAGGGTGTTTGAGGGGGAGTCAGTATATATTGTGAAGTCTCCTCGTATGAGGGCAGGAGTTGGGGAGAAGAGAAAGATTGAGCCAGGCTCTGAATTCATTGAGGAAAGAAAAGGAACAACATCTGGAGGTGGGTAGACAGCAGCTACAGGAAGCTTGATTGGGTGGAAGGTATGGACTGAGTGAATCAAAAGAGAAGTTTCTGAGTGACTGAGGGGGTGAGTAGAGGGAGAGCCTGAAAGTGGTAGTGGGTGTAGTGGCAAGATGCCATATTTCATATCCTTAAAAAAAGAGTCTCATTCCTTTCTCAGATGTTTTGGGTCTTCATTTTAAAGGTATTTGGAATGAAATGTTATATGTAATTGAATTTTGGAGCTCTAGTTCCACTGAATAAATGCATGTGCAAAATCCTCATTAAACTGAATGCAAGAAAAAAATCTTAGGCATTTAAAAAGTGTGATGAGTTTAAGAGAACATCAGATAGCAACATTTGTAAGGGAATTTTATTTAAAGGTCATGTATTTGGGGAAGGTATATAGAATTTGTATCTGGTGAATTCAAATTATATGGTTTCCATTTTTAAATACAAGAGCAGGCATTATGCAATGAATGATTAGGCAGTTTGCTTATTATTACTGTTAAGAATGTCTGAATATGAACTTCATAGTGGAGGATCTAATCTGTGACTGGCAGTGAAGAAATATAACAAATAACAAAATGGAAATGTACCGCTTATTCTGCCTAGCTACCAATTTCATTGATTATCCCTTCCCTTCACCCTGCATTTCTTGTGTGTTTTGTGGCAATGGCAACAGATGGCATTTTAGTACTATCTAGGCTACAAAAGTTTATATGGCACAGGCATATTCAAGTCAAGTCAACAAACATTTTAAGTACCTGCTATGAAGTTTCAGGCTTTGAGCTAAAGGCCAGAGGCACAGATATTCTGCTAAGTGCTAAGCATGAGTTTTCTCAAATGGTGTGTGAGGCATCGTGGCAAATTTGAATTTCTCTCACTCTTCAGTGAATTTTTAAAACTTGTGAAACCCAAACTCTTGCCTAACACTGTCCTTGATTCCTTTATGAAAGTAGTAACTAACATTCACATGGCTTTTAAGGCTTTCATATCTCTTTACATTTGTTCCTCACAACAACTCTGTCATGAAGTGTCATTATTATTCCTTTTTATAAATGAAGAAACAGACTGAGAGATGTTAAGGGACTTTCCCAGGGTTGAACAGCTAGTTGGTATCCAAAGTGTAATTCAAACTCAGGTGTTCCTGAGAACAGGTCTGGTGCTCTATCCATTACAATGCCTCACTACCTCAAAATCAAAATAGATATTTCTTTTCTTGTAGAAAGCTGCTAAAGAATATTTTAGAAAAACTAGGCAGAACTTAACTTATTGGTTTTCATAGTTTTGCAAGATTTTAAATGATCTTACAGAAAATCAGATTCTTTTAAAGAATAGACTCCTACTTAAAGCTTAAATCACTTAAAGATTTAAATAACTTTTTTGTATTTTTCCAGTTGTGAAATTGTTTTCCATAGAGACTGAGATAGACTTAATTTTGATTCTCTGAGAATTAAGAATCTTTTGTATCTTGAAGAAAAAGAATAGTGGCTATAAAAATGCTTTTCATGTTCTCATAAGAATTTTTGTTTGCTAGAGAATACTCCATTTCTATTTTATAGTTATTCTTGTTTAACATGATTCATAAATGCCTATGATTACTTAGAAATACATTGACAGTATTATATGATGATATTTGGGAAAATTCAAACTTGTGTCAAGAGAAATGTCTTTTGGTCTAGTATTTTCTGGTGCATCAATACCCAAATGTCTACTGAATGTGAAAGTAGGTTTTATAGTGTAACATGTTCTAAGTCTCCATTTTTTTTTTTCCTTCTGTAAACAGGCAAAACCTTCAACAGTAGAAGTTCTGGAAAATATAGATAAGGTATGTTTTTTAACCTTCAAGTTTCTCCAGACCTGAATAGAAAATTATCTCGTTGTATGTAACAAGTAGCATCCATTTCTTTGGAAGCAAAACCTGATCTACAGAATTAGAATTATGCTAGTAAGAAATTAGTCGGGTAAAAACCTTGATGTAACACAATCTCAAAAAATCAAACTGTACTAGGGAGTCTAGAAGTCTGTGTCAGGCAATGGAACCTGTCAGAGTGAAATCAGATCTTCAGTGTAGTGTAAATCAGGATTGCTGATAGAGTAAACTAAGCTCTTACGTATACCCAAATTTTCACTTTGCACAGTTTTCAATATCCTTTCACAAGTGCCATGGTGATTATTCCTTTAGTGCAAAGGTTCTTAACTTGGTCTTTATGAACTCGTGGTTTTAAAAAATATTTTGATGACTATATTTAAATATTACAGTGTTCCCTTGTAATCCTAAGTATTTTATGTGTTTAAAATGTTAATCTGAGAAGGGGTCTGTAGATTATGTTTATTTTGGCTATAGAGAATGAGTAGACAGAAGAACTAAACCAGTTTTATGGGTTTTTTAAATGTCAATTTTCACTACATTTTCTAAAGCCAATTTTTTTTTTTTTAAATAATCTAATGGACTTATAACAATTTGATTTTTAAAAGTATATGAAAGCTTAAGGCATGATTTTAGGCTATTATCAGATGATATTAGTTATTATAAAACAGAAATATATTAATTTTTCTGAAGATAAAACATAATTAAACATTTAAATAGAAGTATTTTGTAAATGGAAATATGAGTAGGAGAAAGTTATTTCTAATGTTTCAGTAATTGTTTAATGTTTTGGTTTTGAGGTTCAATAACATGTGACAATTCTCTCTTAATAGGAAATCCAAGCATTAGAAGAATTTAGAGAGAAAAATCAAAGATTACAGAAACTGTGGGTTGGAAGGTTACTCCTCTACTCCTCACTCCTTTACCTGTTTACTTGCATAGTGGTATACTTGTGGTATCTTCCAGATGAATTTACAGCAAGACTCACTATGACACTCCCGTTTTTTGCATTTCCATTGATGTAAGTAAATATATATTTCATTTTTCTTTTGGTGTTCTCTTTTCCCCAAATAACCAGTTTCCTCTGGTCAGTTCCTTTTATTGTGGATTAAAGTATCAGTGGGGCTTCTTACAGGCATTTGAATACTTGGGTTTGCTTTTTGACAGTTTGAAGATTTGTTATATATTTTTTTAAAATAGAGCAGAGATCTTGTGTTAGGTAACTCCTTCTGATGGAGCAGCTAGTATCCAAAGACTTTCTAGGATGTGCTCATATGATATGATATGATGATGCTTGCGTACTTCACAACTTTTAAATAAAAAATTTAATAGTGATATTTACTATGCTAGCACTGGAGTATTAAGTTAAAGAGGACATAGGTATTGCTTTCATTCAGTTATAAAAATATTAGTTTTTCATCTTTAAGTGGGAATATTACTTTGTAAAAACCAGATATTTTGGGGCAGCTAGGTGGCGCAGTGGATAGAGCACCGGCCCTGAAGTCAGGAGGACCTGAGTTCAAATCTGGCCTCACACCGAACACTTGACACTTACTACCTGTGTGACCCTGGGCAAGTCACTTAACCCCAATTGCCTAAAAAACACAAAAAAAACCAACCTAAAAAAACATCTTTTATAGCAACTATTTAGAGCAGGAAGCATATCTCCTAAACATTATATGCTGTCTTTAGTGAACCTATAAGAACTAGTCTTGTCCCAACTGTTACAAATGTGTATATAGGCTTTTGAATGTTTGCATAGTGCTTTGAAGTTTATTATCCATACTTATTTCCATTTTTTTCTTTGAAATCTTGTGTTTCTTTAGTGCTTTTTACTCTAGCTATGACACTGTAGCTAAATATAATAATCAATTATCCTGAGCTCCTTTCCTTAGGCTTATTTAAACAAACAAAAAATGATAGTGGTCAGGAATTGGAGAAGCTCTGTTACAAACTCGTGTACCAGAATTAGATTGCCCTTCCACTGAAACATGTTTTGCTAATGTTTAAGGGTCTTGTGAACTTGGGACCTTTTGACTCTGGCAATAATGTGGCTTAACAGATTGTACACAATAACTCTAGATTTTCCTTGAAAACAAGGATATATAGCTATTGAACGTATAATAATTAAGTAGACTGTTAATGTTTTGGGGAAATTTTTACAGATAAATATGCCAGTTTGCTAAATAACTACTTTGCATGGATATTTTTATCATCTAAAAAGTTCTTAGGAGTAATTAGCTTTACAGAGAACACATGTATACAGAGAAAAGCACTTATACGCAGGAAATTAAATGGTGTATACCTTTCCATGGAGTTTGGATTATGTTGAAATTCCTGTTCAGACAATCTAGACAAGAGAATTCCTAGGACCCTGGAGGCCCTCAGTCTACAGAAAAGGGCCATAGAGAAAGGGAATTCCACTTCTGTTTTCTAATTTAATTCCCCCTCCAAGATTCTCAAGTTCTGTGTCTTCAGCTCACCCAACCCACTCCACTACTGTGGACTCATGATATTACCTGAGGAAAACGAGGAAGGAAAACAGGAGGATCTCCATTGTCCTAATCCATTGCCTAAGGGATAGGATGGGGGAAATATCCTTTTCCTTGACTGAATTTCCTTTTCATCCCAATTGGAATTACAGGTTCATAGATTCAGAGCTTCAAAGAACCTTGGAGATCATTGAATCTAACCCCTTTCCCCCCCCCCCCCCCTTTTTTTTTTAATAAATGAGGAAATTGATGTAGAGAGTGACTTGCCCAGGGTCACACAGATGTTAGATATCTGAGGTAAGTTTGAACTCAATCTGCCAGACTTCAATTCCAACACCCTGTCCACTATGTATCTGACTTAATTTGTCATATTTGTATTTCCATCCTTTCTCTGGAACATTGAGTGAACTGAGGGCATGTGGCTTGTATTTCATGCTTCCTTTTGTTAACTGCATGAGTTTAATAACCAGGTTTATGGTCAATGAAGTAGAGTACTGAATGGGGGAATCAGCTGTCTCAAAAAAAGGCTTGTTCTACTTTTACTTGGATTTTTCTTTTGGCTCCAGCCCTTATACCTTTCTTCCTCAGTCCCTGGGGAACGCCAGCTAGTAATTGGCTGGATTATATCATTTCACTTGATTGTGACATGGAAAACATGAGTAATCATGTTGCTAACAGTTGGGAGAAGGTCAGTTACTTTGATGTAGAAATTCTAGTGTGTTCTAGAGGTAGGAAGTAGGGAAGCAGAATTTCTACATATGATAAAATTTAATTTGTTAACTCATTAATTTGGAACCTAATTTGAGTTTATGATAATTTAGGCATGTGCCATATTGATGACAAAAAAAAGAGGAAAACATACTGTAAACAAGGTTGCAAAGCATATGTTTATCTTAAGTAAAACTTTTAAAAGCAATTTTAAACATACTTTAAAAGTATTTGTTTCCACATAGTTTTCTGGTTAAAAATATTTGTATTCAAAAAAGGTCTGGCAAGAATTCTGCCTTGTTCTAATTAAAAGTAAACTAATATTGCCAAATTGGGGGTTCAATTGCATCTCCTTTAGTAGTGTAATATCATGGAAAGAGCCCTTGGAGTTGGAATTAGGCCTGGGGGCAGCTAGGTGGCGCAGTGGATAGAGCTCCGGCCTTGGAGTCAGGAGGACCTGAGTTCAAATGTGGCCTCAGACACATATCACGGGGCTGTGTGACCTTGGGCAAGTCACTTAACCCCATTGCCTAGCCAAAAAAAAAAAAAAAAGAAAGAAAATGAAAAAAAAGGAAGGAGGAATTAGGCCTAGATTCAGGATTCCAGATCTTGGACAAATCAACTCTCCAGCCTTAGTTTTTTACTTATAAAGTATAGTTCATAGTATTTTCACTACGTACTTCAATGGGATTGTTTTAAGGATCAGTTGTGATAATATGTAAAATGATTTTAATAGTCAAGTGCGTCATATTCTTATTTTGAAAAGCATTTTCTCTAATGAATTGGTTTTAATGCCTTTTAAATTTTAACTCCTTATATTTGAGAGGAACAAAACTTAATTCGAAAATGCTAAATTATTTTAGACTGATCTCTCTGTTTTGATTACAACAAGGTTTTTATTGTACCTCCTGTGTCACTGATTGCACTGTCTTTTGCTCTTGTCTCTTTTTCTAGAATTTTCCTTTGGTTTGTTAAATACTAGAGCTATTAATGTTGACTCACTCACATTTGTGACAATTCCAACTGATGAAACTTTGTTTTAATTTCAGTAATTTTTTAACTTCTGCGATTATATTAAATATAGGAAGAAACCAGCAGCCATTCATTTCTAATTCTTTCTGTAAATTGAGTAGAGTTTATGACTTTGTCATTGTTGGCAGTTTTAAACAGTAATGAAAACAAAAATTGCTTGAAAATGAGGGAGGTCTTTTCTCTCTGTTCTGCTGTGTTTGTTATGTGGGCCACTTTACAGGATAAGGCTTGGTTTTCTGGTTTCATTGGAAATTGAAGTTTGGAAATAGTTTGATAGTTTGTAGCAACAGTAACAGCAAAAGGCACATGAATTTCTACCTTATTTTCTGCTTCTGTTTGTGGTATTTTGCAGAACACCTAGATAAATCTGATGTCTGTAAAAAAGGTATACTCCCTATAAATTTCAAACATTTCGCATTCTCAGTATTGGAATATTTGAATTTGGGACAAGGCAAAATATTGGACATGTGATATCTCTAGCAAAAATTTGTTCAATATTAGCCAAATAGAATACTGAGAAACTTAATTTGATTTAAACCTACTTTTCTTACCTCTTGCCTTTCATCTTGTCCCTTATTCTCAACCCTATTCCTTCCTTTTCATGTTTAAGATATGACTGTGCATAATACCTTTTTAGTCTTTATAGTCAGAGAAAGTTTTGGTTGTAGAGATAGCTTTCATCTATGTTTCAGTAGCTGATATTCACAGGTAATTCAATAAAGTCATACTTATAGAACTCCCTTGAACACCTTTCTTGCAAGCTCCAGAGCTGTAGAATTCTAATCCATTTAAGTTCAACACAGGGGACAGAAAATGTACCCAGAAGAATTAGTTGTATATTTCCTCTGTGGTTTTCCCCTCTTCTTTTTTTATACATTGGGAAAGAAACTAAAGCAGAGGAACTGAGCCCAGGAGATTTTCAGTCAGGATGTGCCAGGCACTGTGATAAATTATGGGGATACAAGGAGAGGCCAAAAACCAAGCCAAACCAAAAAGTTTCTGCCTTCAAGAAGTGTACATTTGAGTGGGGTAGACAACATGTAAATAACTAGTCAACTTGCATTTATTAAGCACCTACTATGTGTCACACACGGATGAGGCAGCTATGTGGGCTCAGTGGATAGAGTGCTGGGGCTGAAGTCAGGAAGACCTGAGTTCGAATTTGGCCTTAGACACTTACTAGCTGTGTGACTCCAGTCAAGTCACTCAACCTCTGTTTGCCTTAATTCACTGAAGAAGAAAAGGGCAAACCACTCCTTTATCTTTGCCAAGAAAACTCCATGAACGGTAGAGGTGGGGGCAGCTGGGTGGTGCAGTGGATAGAGCACCAGTCCTGGAGTCAGGAGGACTCAAGTTCAAATTTGGTCTCAGACCAGATACTTGACATTTACTAGCTGTGTGACCCTGGGCAAATCACTTAACCCCAATTGCCTAAAAAAAAAAAAAAAAAAAACCCACATATTTGGGGCAGCTAGGTGGCGCAGTGGATAGAGCACCTGCCCTGAAGTCAGGAGGACCTGAGTCAAATCCGGCCTCAGACCAACACTTGACACGTACGAGCTGTGTGACCCTGGGCAAGTCACTTAACCCCAGTTGCCTAAAAACTAAAAAAACAAAAACAACAAAAAGAAAAGCAGAACAGTAGAGATAGTCCAAGGGGTCCCATATTAGCCAGTGACTGAACTACTGAACAACAAATGTGCCAGGCACTAAGTAGTGGGGTTATAAAGGAAGGCATAAAAACTTCCCCCTCTGTTCTCAAGGAGCTCACAGTCTAATGGGGGAGAAA